CACTGCAGGACACCGACAATATGTATGCGTTACTACCTTAACAATGACACGTCTGTACACTCAGCGCACTCTGTCAAGTAGATATGAAAGTTCAGACGATGACCGTCATTTTCATAGTACTACACATGTATTACATTTGAAACATGAATTACACAAGTATACAAGTATTGAATATTATAAACCACTTACTTGATGTCCTGCGACGTTTAGTAGCGTAAGATACCCGGACGCCCTCAGGTGGATTTGAACCCGAACCGCGGAATTCCTAGCCCAGTATTCTGCCATTGAGCCACAAGGAGCTGATGGTGTTCCGGGTTAAAATCACGCTTGTTAGGGCTGTTAAAGCATGCATAGCATCAGTGCGCGGCTCGACTTTCATCATAACTTTGATTAACACCGTGTTTTCTTAGGCTTCTTTCTCTTAAAAGTCCTATATTTTTTTCATTTTTTCGTGTTAATTTCTTTTCGTGTTATTTTTTTTTTACCTCGTCAGCATTGACTCAATACTGTTGTTTGATATATTGAAGGTATCAGTGTTATATTCATGCTGACGCGGTATACCTTTTAACCGACAATCTTAATATCATACTGCATTAGTGTTGATGATATCATGTCAACATCCAACAATATGTATCAGTATTGACATAAGATTCTGTGCTATGTGGGATCGGGTCTCTCGTGGGTTGCCGTTAAGGAAGAACGCCGTATGAGCATTCGATCGTTACCAAATTTCCTTCGATAAAATGTTTATTTTTGAGGAAAATTGTACATTTTTTCCTTTGAAAATTGCAGGCACTTTAGATCAAATTACAAACAAAATTATCTGAGAAATTGATAGAAAAATATTCAAAAATGTTCCAATAAATTAGTGATTTGCCTGAGGAAATTTAGCAACGCCTGAAGGCTCATACGGCGTTTTTCCTTAGCACGGCAGAGTTAGTCTCTTACCTACGTCCTTTGTCCATTGCAACCACCCGTTTCTATCAATAGGATCCCTCCATATCCTTTTTGCCTTCTTTGTCTAATGCTTTGTCTATCAATTTCAATAATCGGCCGCAGGGTTCTCGTGAAAATTGAGATACGCCCTAACGTCAGAGGGACAAAGTTTTTTGTTCTCCCAAAACGCCCCATGCAGGAATGACCTCATTCCTTAGTTCCATCCAATCATAGCAAGGTCCAAAAGACCCGCGTTGGGCAGAGGTGAACAAAGTGAAAATTTACGCAAACTTTTGTGTGGTTTTTTTCAGCCATGCGTATCACGGTCAAATCGGTCAAAGCCCTAGAACCTGTGGAGAAACGATTCGAAGTTGATCGACCGTTTTACTATGCGCTTGGTATCAACTGGAACAAAAGCAGGAACTCATCGGAAGTGCCTCGAACATTTTTATTTCAAGGCGTCGTCAGCGAGCCCAATCACTGATTCTTGTATCTCAAATAAATTTGAATCGAAGACTGTGATCGTGAACTTGTAGGGTGCATTCTAAGTGTGATAACCTCCTCTCACATTCCTGACTCTTTTCATTCGCGAAGGAAATTCTGTCGTCAGAAAGATTAGTTCAATTCTGAAGTTGTAAATATAAGCCAAGAGGATGAGAAAAATATTGAGCTTGAGGACCAGTTATCACTTATCGGCCTCTGTTTCGCCTTAATTTAATGACATAAGACTTTACATTGGTAATTACTCAATTGCTACAAGAAAGAGACATTAGAAAATGTGGTCCGAACTGTATGTAACAAGGTGGTAATATAATGCCGGGTTTACACTGTATTTTTCGGGAGAAGTAAGTAAGACTTAAAAATTCAAAAATTTCAATTAGAGTAAAAAATTTGAGCTGCACTGAGTATCAGTACAAGGTTAAGGGAGGAGAGTGCATACTCAATTAGGTATTCATTATACCATTGAGAGTACTGATGATCATTAAGGCTTAATTTTTTTACTTTAATTAACACTTTTGAACTTTTTGGCTTTGGTTTCCCCGAAAAATAGTGTGTACCCAGCAATAGTTTACCACCTTAATTTCTATTAAGGTAGAGTATGTTAGTTTCTCCGTTGATCTCGTCAAAAAATTAATTCCTGGGTAAATATTCGATCCAAAATTTTCCCAACATCAGACGAAATGTTCGCAAAAAAAGGATCTTAATTTTTCGTAGGGATATTCTTACTTTGGTTAATTTTTTTTTATTGTATATTATCGTTTTTGTTGGACCGAATTTCGACTGCCGCAAGTCCTCTTACAAGTCCTTATAACTTCCTAACTGAGCTTCTATTAACAAAAGTAACTAAAAAATTAACAATTAGAAGTAATTATGTGTGTCTAATTTTGGGTCTTAATTTGATTTAGGTATGCAGCTAATTATTCCATCCTGCCATATCATTATATTTTTAATGGCAACTAAATAAAGCACAAAGAAAAAAAGAAAAAAAAAAACACTTTAGACATCCTTGATTCAGTTGTCAAAATTGTATCTCCATCTGAAAAGCATGGTGATCATGATTTCATTGCAATTATCAGTTCAACTACTCAATTCAAAACTTCGCACATTTTCTCAGAGCGGACTTGTATCTCTTGCAATGAAGCGGAATGAAGATTTCTGCATCGTGAAGATCTTGGACTACACCTTGCAATAGAGAACTAACTATTTATGGCTCATAAATAAAAAACATTTATCTGCATAGAGAAACTGCTTGCATATTCGTTGTTTCTACCGAGAGCTACACTGAAAAAAATATGCCGGTAGATTTTACCATCTCTGACACAGTGATACGAATATGGTAATAAACACCAGACTCTATGGTGGCATTTACCATACTATGGTAAGAATCACCAGAGTTCTGGCGAATACTACTATAATTCTGGTTATTTCCACTAAATAGTATCACTGTGTAAAAAATCAAGTAGACTCATAATAAATGTCACCATACTTTTTTTTCAGTGTAGAAATAGTAGTTCCTTGTTGCAAAATAATGTCAACTATTAGACATATTTTGCGGTTAAAATTGTTTTGAAGCCACAGCTTAAGTACTATGCTCTTTTAATTTCAGCCCTTGTGTTTGGGGTCACAAGCTTCACGCAACATTTTGACGAACCAAAATTATTTATAGCTGACCGCCCATTCTACTACGCGATTCAGGCTGGTGTTGGCTCAGGACATGTTCATTTGTTTGAGGGTGCAGTGAAAAACCCCACCATTTAAAACTTTGACAAATTTAGTCGTAATTCTGTCGGATGTAAAATTTTAAGTCATGAGGTAGTTTATTAAAAACAATAAATAAATAAATGATAAAGCATAATATAAGCAGAAAATTATATTTTTCAGCCTTAAGCGTCGTGAGAGTGAAATATTTTATAATTCGAACTTTCACATCTCAAAACCTTACTTCCTCCCTCCTTCTTCTTTCTATATACTTTCAAAAGATTAAATGGACGTATTTCTATCAAACAGATTTATGTGGAGGTGAGAAATATGGGGTGTGCTCGTCAGTTCTCTGGCCGTAAGAGTGATTGAGATTAATAAAGCGCCAGTGACGTCAGCGGAGATGGATGACGTCATCGCGGCTCCTCGTAGTGGTCATTAACTCATGAGCCCTGTACACAACTCTCTCGTGCCGTCCCCGCGGCTCATATATCCCGCACTCAGTTGGCACATAGTTCTGTTCGCTGAATTTTAAGCCCCGCTTTTCCAATTCTTCAAAAAGAATCACGCCCACTGACCGCATTGTTTCTTATCCCACTCTCTAGAGCACACCCCATATTTCTCACCTCCACATAGTTCTGTTTCATAGAAATACGACCAAATTAACGGTGAGAGGGTGAGACTTCCAAACCATGTATCTCAGTTTGCGACGTTGCAGACTTCCTGTCATACTATATTTTTCAAATGGAGAGCTACTCAACGTCAATCTTTAAAAACTCCCATAATTTTTCCTCTCCAAGAAAATCAAATTCTGAAAAAACCACAAGCAATGATGTTGATTTATTCTCCTTTAAAAAAATAAAATAGGTGCGTAGACTTTCAAACACCGCAAACGAGATGCGTGGTTCAGATGTTTCACCGTCGATGCATGTATGTTCAGGATTAAAGTTTACATAATTAATAATTAACAATTTTTTTAGTGAGGAATCAAAACTATTTGCTATTCTGGGAGATTTTTTAGATAATTACGAAGAATTAAAATGTTTACAGCACTTTCATCGCGGTAGCTCCGTTTTGCTAAATGCGATCCAATCATTACTAACTTAATTATCAATAATATCTGTATTATCCAGTAATATTTTGCAAGACCTAGACCCCTCGATTTTTCGATTTTACCCTGTGGAAACTGTACCTATGCAAAAAAAATATCCATCGGCTACTGGTTGAAAAGAGGTCACAATTTGGGTCAGCGGGGATTTTTCTGACACCGAGCCCAAACGATACCTTATGATACAACCTTATGATGCATTGAGGACCGATAAGAACATTGATAGCCATGAAAACTGCAGGAAACCGACAATTTTACTTCCATTTTTAAAAATTTGACAAAGAATCCTGAGTTGTCCACGATTTCTCCACATTTTGGACCACTGTACGATCGAAATTTTTGGAACTGCGAACACAGCTATATGCACAGGGGCTCAGCCAAAACCCGCCAAAGGTGTAACTGTTTCGTCCTTTTTTCCCGTCTTTTTGCCGTAAAAATGCTGTCAAGAATGATGGCGATTTGACAACTTTGCCCCCCATTTTCTCAAAAACCGTGCGTATACTCAAGCTAAAATTTTTACCAAAGTTTTAAGGTATCATAAGGTATCGTTTGGGCCCGGTTTCAGAAAAATCCCCGCTGACCCAAATTGTGACAAAAAAACCGGTCGTTTTTGGCGTCGCTCTTTTAATGACAAAGTAGAAATTTCCAAAAATTGCCATCAAGAAACAACTATTTCTAATTTCTCCATCGATTTATTTTTATAATCATTATTGAGGTGGAATCTGACGTCAAGGAGCTGCGTTTGGATTTGACTCACCAAATTTTCTGTTTGGTTTTCAGCATTCTTCGGAGTGGCACTGTCGGCGTATATTGAGCCAAAGGATCCGCTAAAATTCATTGTTGACCGGCCATTTTACTATAAAGTTCAAGTTGACACTACTTCAGAGATTACGCATTTATTCGAGGGAGCAGTTGTTCAACCTTACGCTGATACGTGACCATTTCCTCAATATAAGCTATAAGGAACAGGAAAACCATTATTCAAATATTATACAAATTTAGTGTCAATCAAATTTAAAGACGCCTTAAAAGCTCCTGGGATTTCAGAAAAATTTCAAATACGAGACACATCAAAATGTGCAAATACACGCACGAGTATCAGAATTTTCCTTCCCAATTGAATTCTATACTTTTTTTTGTATACAAGATCTGAATTATTTGATTTCTGTACACGTTTCCTTTCTAGAATTTCACGCACTTTAATGACCTATGTTGATAACACAAGATATCTGGATTTTGAAATTCGAGAGGCTTAAATTTAGTGAATTACCCATGTACTAAGTTCAAATTGAAATATTTTTTCACTTGTTCTTTCTTTAAAATTCCACGTAAAACTGCAGGAAGATGCCATAATTAAAGTTTAAAAAATCATCAGTTGTAAAGAAAATAATAATTTTTCAAAAATTATCTCACTTTAAGTTACATTTATTAATGTTATTGTATGACTGTATATCAAAGAAAAAACTTAATTTCTGTAAATCTGAAGTTAAGTAATTCGACGTTGCTGATTGATATTCACGTGTTTTTTCTCTTCCTACGTGCGATGCTCGAAAGATACCATAACTTTATATTTTTTGTAAAATGCATTCGGCCAAATAGCAAAGGCCAAGAGCTCAACCTAAAACAGCCCATACGTGTTCATATACTGCCGTGCTAAGGAAAAACGCCGTATGAGCCTTCAAGCGTTGCCAAATTTCCCTTGATAAAACACGAATTTCCTGGTAAACTTATGAATATTTTCCTTCCAATTTTTCAGATAATTTTCTTCGCAATTTCACCTAAAGTCCCTGAAAATTTCAAAGAAAAATATCCATAACTTCCCGCAAAAATTAATCTTATATCGGAGGAAATTTGGCAACTCTCGAATGTTCATACGGCGTTCTTCCTTAGCACGGCAGTATACCTCTCCCGGTTCAGTCCCCACTCTCAGTTGGGCGTATTTCTGCCAACCGTACTATGTGCATTATGACGTGAGCCCTATTATGCATATACTCTTAAAGGTCTCAGGGCTCATGTCTTAATGCACGTAGCTCCGTTTGGCAGAAATACGTCCAGCTCATCTCAAAAAGTACCCTGTAGTCTTCCTTCAACAGACTCACGGCTGCCAATAACGTAAAAAGACATGAATTACTAATGAGGGCGAAAGAAAATCGCCTTCAATTTTTAGAATATGCAACCAGGACATCCGATGAACACGAATAATTGCATCCTAGGCCACGCGGCGATTAATCGCCGTGTGTATTTAGGCCTTAACCGGATTGTGTATAACGCAATTCTACGGCTTAATTTGACACGAGCTTGTACATAAGCTACTCGCAAGTTGAAATGCGGAATACTTTAGACATTTTCCGACACAAGAGGAGAGCATAAACTCTAACGTTTTTTTTAAACGGAAATCCTTCCTTCGTGGTACGTAGTTGAAAGGAACAAAAATCGTCTTCTGAAATAAGTTACATTGGCGGTAATTTCCTCCAGAAGGTTGAACCATTTCAAAAGAATTGAAGAAGATACGTGGAATTGAGACACGATGAAATTCCAATATCAAGATTAATACTGCTATTAATACTGCCGTGCTAAGAAAGAACGCCGCAAGCACATTCGAATTTTGCCATAGGTATTTCCTCTCAGACAATATTTATTTCGAGGACTGTCACCAACTGTCATAAATATTTAATAAACACTGTAGAATACACTGCGAACAAAATTTCCTGAAAAAATTAGGAGATAAAATGGTGTGCACCAGTTTTCCCGGAAATGCGTAATTTGTCCGAGGAAAATTGGTAACGCTTGGAGGCTCAGGCTCATACGGTGTTTTCCCTTAGCGCAGCATAAAAATCGTTCACCAGGAAAACGGTAAGTTTCATTGAATGTGTTTCATTTATCGTGAGGAACTCACGCCGTAAATTCAAAATCCGATTTCAAGTTTTGAAAACTTTTAAATTTTAGACGACGAACCATGGATTACAAAGATATATCCTTGTGTCGGGTGACTGCTATCTATGACGGTGGGAGCAGGATAATGATGAAGAACTTTCTGATGGTGAAAAATCGTATTCATTGGTAGGTATTTTTGCTATGGATGATACATTGGCGATGAGAACAAGCACTTACATGGGCAAGAAACTGTCCGTCGCGTCGGCCAGCCGGCGCACGATGGATCCAGTCAATGTGAGAGCTCGGACAAAATTTGGAAACTTTAAAAGCTCATAAATCCAATCGTACGGAACTTAGAGGTGCTAAAAGTGGTTCTGTTGGTTTCCTCGTGAAATTTTCTTTCAGAGGCACCCCTTGAAATTTAAAATGTGACTATATAAACATCAAGATATCGTCACCTTCCAGGCAAAGTATCACAAGCGCCATGCGACGTTTAAAAATTTCCGCCATTTTATTTCTTTACTGAGAAATTGTTGGTTGAATCTGTTTGGAAATTTCACTAAATTTTATCGGCAGCACAAAGAAAATTCAGTGAAATTTTCGGACAGCTTCGTTGAACAATTTCTCTGTAAAAAAATAAAATGGCGGCGGAAATTTTTAAACGTCGCATGGCGCTTGTGATACTTTGCCTGGAAGGTGACGATATGCAGTTTTAGTCAAACATTTCAAGCCCGACCTCTTTAATTGACCCGATCCACTGTGCGGTGGCCAAGCGAGCGTTGTAGCTAGAGAAACTAGACAGTCAAGACAAGAGGGGCAAGCTGGGATGGAATGAGAAAGGTCAGGACTCCGGAGAGAATGCGGCCGATTCTTAAAGGAGAACGCCACACGGATCTTCAGACGTTGCCAAATTGCCCTCCCATAAAATACCAACTCGCAGTCAAATCTGTGACAGTTTTTCGTCCAATTTTTAGAGAATTTCATTCGCAATTAAATCTAAACAATCTGAAACCTCCAGGAGAAAACATTCATAACTCCTCCGAAAAATAAATATTTGGCAGGAGAAAATTTGGCAACTCTCGGATGATGATACGGCGTTTTTCCATGGCACGTCAGGATGGCTGGTAGACGGCAGGGCGGCAGGGCGCGGCGCCAGGTTGGGAGTGGTTCGCGGAGTCGCGGTGGACGGAGGCGCTCAGTGGCGTCTGGTGCGGACTGAGAGGGTAAACCGCGGAGGAAGACCGCGACAGGCACCCGAGGAAAGGGTAGCGTGGCACCGATGATATACTGAAAAAAAAGTTCGGTAAATCCCAACTAGTTAGGATCATATGGAGCCAGGTTTTTTTCGGTACACACAACCGAATTTATCCGTCTGTTCAACCAAATTGTTCGGTTTGTGCGACCGAACCATAATAAATTCTTACAGTTCGGTTCAGTGGACCGAACAGTTCGGCCGAGCAGACCGAATAATTCGGTCGTGTGTACCGAACAAAATCGTGGTTCCATATGATCCTAACTAGCTCGGATTTACCGAGCTTTTTTTTCAGTGATATCCGTCGAAGGCAAATAGTCAAATCAGGCAATTATCAAATGCCTAGGCAGATAGTCAAATTTTCAGAGGTTGCGAGGTTTCTTATGTTTTCGCAGAGACCTCTCGAAGTTCCAATATTTAAAGCGTGAAAATTCATAAAAGCACCTACAGACTGTTAGGTATTCCATTTCCCGTTCAAAACGCTCCTCACATTTTTCCAGCTGTCAAAATTGTGAAATATGTTTATTTTATTAAATGCTGTGTATTTTGAGATAAATGTGCAATCCAGGACTAGGAAACACTTGTTTATCATTGTATGAAGCGCATTTCTACAGAGAATTCCTTCCCAGTTCCCACACGCATGATCAGAGCATCATTTTGTCTACAGTTAATAAAATAATCAGAATTTCAGTGTAAGTAAAAATATTTATTTATTTGTCAAGGCGTTTAACCGAATGTCTGATTTGACTATTTGCCTTCAACATATCGACGGTGTAAGTCGGCAATCCCATAACTCGGTTTGTAACGTCGCAAACTTCCTGTCATACTTTATTTTTTAAACGGAAAACTACTTAACGGCAATTCTGTAAAACTACCGTGATTTTTCTTCTCTGTGCGAAGAAAATTCTGCAAAAACTTCAAGGAATTAATGTTCTTCCTTAAAAAAAATAACATAGAGGAGATTTTCAGACACCGCAAACGAGATATTTGGGTGCCGACTAACGGCGTCAATATCTATGGTCAAAGGGCGAAACCAGTGAAACCATGTATCTCCATTGCGATGTTTCATGTGGGGAGTCCGGAGGTTATCGTACTTACCTTTCAGGATCGATTTTTTGGCTCAAAATATTACTTTTTTCCGTGTAGGTACCCATAAGCCCGAAAACGCTTCCTAAGTGAGCTGTACTTTTCTTTTGTCATGCTCTATGCTTTCTTACAGTCCTTGCAGTGAAGATTGCCTACCCAGCAAGGAGCTTCGAAAATCTGAGACTTTTTCAAAGCTCTGTAGCACGTTCCGTCTCTGGAAAATATTATGGAATACCTTCTCCACCTGATTTTTCGGGCTCTTTCGCGTGCCGCAATCCGTTTTTCCATCACTATTATCTACAGAAAAAGGTATTGCAATTTTAAAGTTCGGAAACGTCATTATCCGAAGACGTATGTCCTGGAAAACACGAAAAAATAACAGTACGCTAAAAAAAAATACCCCCCCTTCCCCCTACAAAGTTCAGCTACTTACGACAAAAACGAGGAGCTACGTCAATTTGAAATAAAAAAATGACAATTTTGAAAGCGCCTAGCAGACTTATGAACAGGCTCGGACTGGCCATAAAGCCAATCTGCCATTGGCAGATACGCCCCCTTGGTGTGCCGAAAACGCGCCCCTCTGACAAATAGCAAAATATAAGAAGGGAAAAAAAATAACGAGCGAAAA